ATTCCTGACTTCTGTCTTGCCATTTGGAACCCAGGGAAGGAGGATGGAGACAATGAAAGTCAGAAGGGGTAGAGGGTAAAAAACGAGAAGCAGCAGCCAGCCCAGATGGACTGAAGGAGGAGAAAAACATGCCACCTAAGGCAGAGCCTGTCTCTCTGCCAATGCTAGGCAGGGATTAGAACTTGGGAACTAAGTCCCTCAGTGAGCAACAGCCCTTTTCACTCCCTTGGCATCTCCAAATTCATCTCACCTTCTTCCCAGCATGGTCTCTGATCCTGGTCTTCCAAGAAGCAGCATGGTCAGGATGGACAGCAGGACAAGACTCAGATCAGAACTTTCAGTCCCCGAAACAGGCACTTTGGTTAGGCAAGCACTGGGTGTGCCCTGTTTCCCTGTAGTCTGCTGTCACAAGCATGGGTCACAGGTGCAGAAGGAGGCAATGGTCCTTCTGCTTATTCCTACACTACTCTGCCCAAAGGTCCAATAGCGCTTAGAGTGTCCGCATATGGGTTAGTGCTTATCGGACTTCACTGAACTATTTTTCCAAGTTTTTAACTTAACAAGCAGTGGTCCCTTACTAGATGCCAGATCTTGAGGATAGAATAATAAAAAGTACATTGTTCTTGCCTTCAAAGGAATCACAGTCCAGAGGGAAGAGAGACCTAAAGATAAGGTGACATTAGGACAAGAACAGTGAACAGCTACTCAAAAGAGAGTAACTAGCTCTCTCTGGAAAAGTTGGGGCAGACTTGACAGTTGGCATTTGAACTTGAACCAGTGGACAGACAGGCATTTGCTGCAGTTGCAAGAATGTCAGAAGGACAGAGTTTGTACAAATGCACATAAAGCAGGAGGAATCAGGAACAACAGAGGCGTCTAGGAACTGAGACGACAGGATGAGGTGGGAAGGGAATAGCGGGGGAAAGGCCAGGGCCAGGGCAACGAGCAAGTCTCACCTTTTCCTCAGAAACAGGGCTGGTGTCCTTTGCAGTTCTATCCTTCCAGGATCAGACCCAAGACTAAAGATCTGGGAGTGCCCCACATACACACACACACATGCACACACACACACACACACACACACACACACGGAGGCAGACAGATCACTTGAAGTTCCCCACAGAAAAACTAACGCTGAGTAAAAAAAATCATTGCTGAAGACCCCTTCATTAGAAGGAGATTGTCTTCAAAAAAATAAAGCTCAGAGGCAGGATGGAAAAGCCCCCTTACTGGTCCTGTTGCTGCAGCCTCACATGGTTACACAAGCCCAGGTTGCCTATCATCAGCCATCAAGGCCATTTTCCAACCTTAATAGAGAAAAGAGGCAGCTGTCTGCCTTATACTTCTGCCTGACCCAGAAGAAAGGAAAGACAGACAGACAGACAGGTAATTAAAGCTAGAGCTCTGTAGCAAATACAGACGGAGGTGCAAAAGGAAGCTGGGCAGTGAGACGTGAAAACACACAGCAGGAAACAAAGTGAGACAGACAGGCCAACTAGTGACGCCTTGACCAAACAAAGACAAGGAGCCAGACTGAGGGATGGATGGCTATTTTAAGTAATGAATAAATTCAGGACCAAAGATAATTATGAAAAAAAAAATCATCCTGCCCCAGTTTTGACCACCAAACAAAGAAAGGGGGTAAGAAGCACAAGGAAGTTCTCCAAGCGATGCCATGCCAGCCAGTACTGAATACTCTCTCTACCCCACATTTTCATGAGGCCAGAAGTGATGTTTGGCTCTGGAACCAATTCCTTGCCAAATACTAAGTGCTCAAATATTACCTACACCTCCTGGACTTACAAATGTATGCAGGAAGTTAA